TCGCCGACTTGAAATATTTACCCCAATGAAAACGTGCTTTTTGTAACTTACGATAAAGTTAAATGAATAAAAACGATTGTATAAGTAGGTTTGATATATCTTCGGTGTGTTAAACAAAAGAGACATCAAGTTTAGCTTCCAGAAGGAGAAATTAGCATGTTTTGCTGGCCACACATGCGATAGTTCCTGATTTGCACGAAATCCCCTCGCGTTGCGATCACGTAGCTTCACAATAACAACAACAAAGATGGCGCCGCCCTTGCTCGGGCTCAACTATAATAGTTCTCCAAAGAAAGCAAACTTTCAGTGTCTATTCAAATTCTCTATTCTAATATGTTAACAACTAATATAGTTATTATTATAGAAAATTAATTAAGGGAATGATGGTCTATTATGAATTATGAGGAAATACGTTTTTGAACCACAGACGGCAGCTTTATATTCATCCGCGGTACCGGATCTTTAAAATTTCGTCTGCTATTAAAGTTCGCCCTTTTCATTGGTTAGTTTGATAGTCGTGGCTTGCCAGTCGTCTTCAGTTGAACTAAAACTAGAACTTGATTTAGTCGTAGTTAACACTTCGACTACATTGTTTGTGAATACAAATTGAAGTTAAAGATGCAACTAGCACTAAATGAAGTTCTAGTTCGAAGTTCGACTAAAGTTTGTTTTAAGAATACGGGCGTAAGTGTCTGTCGGCGAATTGGTTGGTGGCGAATTGGCTGTAGGCGAGTTAGCTGTAGGCGAATCGTCCAGTCGGTGAAACGTCCTGTCGGCGAAATTTGGTATCGGCGATGATGAGATGATGGATGAAAATTCGATACAAAATACAGTGTAGACAGCACGTCCGTTTTTTATATACTAAACTACACTAACTGCACAAACAGATATATCGAATAAAACGCACCGCACTGCAAACGGACTAGCTGCAATCGCAACCGGACAAATGGATTTCAGTCAAGAGTTTATGTGTCCGGTTGCAGTTATGGTTTCGGCTCCGGTTGCGTTGGCGTTAAGTACTTTTTTAAAAGTGATTCCATCACGAGCATTTTTAAAGGCCCTTTTGCATTAATTCACGCAACACAACCGAAAACGCACTAATGGAATCACTCTCGTTTAAAGCCGTTAGGCCTATATCGATTGAAACGCACAGCAACACACAAATCGAAATTGGCCAAATGGATTCCTAGTTTTCATTGAAAATTAAAAAATAAAGTTAATAAAAATGCAATTTAATACTGGAATTAGCCGTCAATAAGCCACTTTTTAGTATAAAATGCGCATGCCCGTATCAATTTCAATCGAAACATTATGTGTATGCTAAATGTTTTTGTCGATTGACCTTCGGTACGGGCATACGCAGTTCAAACTACGTCGCTTATTGAAAAACTATTTGTTATGCTTATGTGTCTCTTTGGACTTTCACAACATATAATTAATTGTAAAAGAATATTTCATTGTTTAAATTGAACAATAAGGGGTTTTTTTTCATATTCTTAGTATATGCGCATGCCCGTATCAATGTCAATCGAAACAGATTATGTGTATGTTAAATGTTTTTGTTTCATTAACAATTTTCTTTAATTTTTATTCAATTGTTAGATTGGTGTTTTGCTGCTCTTGACAGGCATTGCTCAACTTGTGATTTATTTCCCAAGTGGTTTTTTAGTGGATTGTCTTATTCAGCGTGAATACCTTAGTGCCTTGAATACACGAAAACTATGTGCAATTTTAAGTAAGAAATATCCTCTATCATTTGTTAACTTTAGAAAAATGCAATTAATCTTTTATTATAAACAGCATAGTAGTGTGCGTTATACTGTAGGACTTAAACCATTCATTGTGAATAATTAAAAGAGTACCGTAAATGTTCGAATAAGCGTCGCTCTTGAAAAAGCGATGTACCGAACCTGATTATTTTCGCTAAGCGCCACGCCGCTGAATCGAGAGTATATGTATAATTAGTGTGTGTAATGAAACACTTTGAGAAACAGGGTTTTGAATACATGTGTATACAGTGTTAAAATAAATAAATAACACAATGAAGACATTAATTTCTTCATAACATTAACGGTAATCTATTGATTTATTAATTGATTGGTATAATAATTGATTTGTTGATATATTGAATGATAATTATTGATTGATTGATTGAGTAATTTGTTGGTTGATGGATGGATAGATATCATTTATAATGTAATTACCATGCCAAAAATCGAACAAACTTGGATTAATTCACCTTAACGTTCTATGCAATAAATCTCCCTTTTTTCAAGTTTTCTTTGTGTCTGCAGTCTGAACTATTTGTCATTCTTAATTACTATTTTTTTCAATCTTTGCTTGATAAATTCTTAAAAATTAACAATTGTTTATACAATTTTAAAACATCTGTATTGTTGCTCCTTTACCATCATTAATAGGTCTAACTAATTATATTTAAAATTAAAAGATATTTCTAATTTGCTTTTATAATATTCTTAATAATTTTTATATATATTTTTTTTGCTACCTGTAAAACATGTATGTTCTGCTTATATGGGTATTTATTTCTTTGTTGCCTATATCCTTTGTGCAATAACGTTATTTTTTATGAATAAATGAATGGATGAATGAAGGATGGATGGGTGGATGGAAACAGCGCGACGGATGGATGGATGAATATATAGAAGGATTAATGGATGAAGGCAATGACTGTCTGCTGAGTGACTGACTGACCTAGTTGATGTGAGAATGTAATATTATTATTGGATTTTCTGGAAATCTGCTTTATTCAACTTATAAATCTTTTAATTATTGATTTACGCTGCAATTGAAGCACTTGGAGTACCAGCTACCTGTCTTATTCTTCTTGGATATGCTGGCAAAAGTGTGTACATAGTCGGAGGTCTTCTTATAACTATCTTTGGACTTTATGGAATCGTAAGTGGAATTTTATCCAACTCTATGGACCTTTCTCCAGTGTATTCGGGAATTATATCAGGAATTGTATTAACAGTGTCCAGCATTACTGGATTTGCTGGACCATCTTTCCTCGGATTATTAACACAAGACGATGTAAGTAAATGTACAAAGGGCGGATGAGCTCCTCGGAGTCAACGGCCAACCATTAATTAGTTTAAGGAATAGGAGTAGTTTAGTCTCATTGTTATTATGATTATTATTTTTTATTTTATTTTATTGTTATTTGTATTTTCTTGGTTGGCCTATAATTATTATTTCTTTGTAAAGCGCCTGGGGCAATGTGCAATATATAATTATAACATTATTATTATAAGGCCTATTATTATTATTATTATTATTATTATTATTATTATTATTATTATTAATATATCAATTAGTTTTTCCTGGAGTGCGTGCAGTAGTCTAGCTTTATATCATATTTTATACTTATTTTAGGTGGTTTTAATGGGTTATTTTGTGTTTTCTGATGACCTTTGTTTTTTTTTAAAGATTTATTTGTGGCGGGAGTGCTATGGGATGGGGTGGGTTGGGGCTTATGCGCATATGAAATTGACATTATTATTATTAATTATTATTATTATTATTATTATTATTATTATTATTATTATTATCATTATTCATTATTGTTGCTGTTGCTGCTACTGTTATTGTTGTTTATATTAGCGTAATCGCCATCACAATTATAGCCACCGGAATCGTCGTTACCATTACCTTCACTATCAGCTGCACCATCATGGTCATTATCGACAGCACCATCATTATCCCCATCACCATAACCATCATCTTCAACAACACCATCATTATGCCTACCATTCCGTTTGTTTCATTCATAGCTGGAGACAAGATTTTACATAATAGGCCTAATAGGTACAATTTTTGGTCGAAGTATGGGTGATACCATCTTGATCCGAAGGCCTGCCTTTCTTTGGAACTATGCATATAATGTTGGGAAATACAATTATCTAAATGATTGTATTTCAAAAATCTGTGAATTTCATAGAGAAAAAAGTTTATAAACAAATTTAAAACTTTCAATTTAGCCTGGCTCGTAACTCTGTTTTATTCTTACTTTCAGAATGTACTTGGACAATGGTCTTTAATGTTTACAATTACAGCCTGCCTCCAGATTTTGGGAATGATAATTTTTCTGCTGTTTGCACAGGCTGAAGAACAGGAGTGGTCAAAAATAAATTGTGACAAAGACGTCACAAGCTTGCTTAACTATTAGATACGCGAGGCCGACGATGAGCTGTAAACTCACTCAATTTTTGGAGTTCTTCCTTTTTACAAGACCCCACCCGGCTCACAGCAATGTTATTTACTTTAATGAATATAAACACAGACGCTTAGTAAAAAAAAAAAAAAAAAAATAGGAATCCTGTTATGAAAAATACTGTCTCTGTACAAGTTTATTTTAATCTTTGATCTAATTATTTGTTTATTTATATTCATTCTATGTTGGTATCTTTTATTCTTGTCATTTTACTTTATTTAATGTTTTTATTCTCTTACAAAAAAAGTAGAAATGACAGACTTAAAAATCGCAGAACAGTTTCCATCATTAGCGGAAAGAGAAGGGCACGGCGTATGTCTGGATTTACTTAGCAGCAGAAGGGCGCTCTGTACGTCTAGACCAAGTATAGATCTGTCTCTTATACACATCTAGATGTGTATAAGAGACAGCTGTTTTATTCTTACTTTCAGAATGTACTTGGACAATGGTCTTTAATGTTTACAATTACAGCCTGCCTCCAGATTTTGGGAATGATAATTTTTCTGCTGTTTGCACAGGCTGAAGAACAGGAGTGGTCAAAAATAAATTGTGACAAAGACGTCACAAGCTTGCTTAACTATTAGATACGCGAGGCCGACGATGAGCTGTAAACTCACTCAATTTTTGGAGTTCTTCCTTTTTACAAGACCCCACCCGGCTCACAGCAATGTTATTTACTTTAATGAATATAAACACAGACGCTTAGTAAAAAAAAAAAAAATAGGAATCCTGTTATGTAAAATACTGTCTCTGTACAAGTTTATTTTAATCTTTGATCTAATTTTTTGTTTATTTATATTCATTCTATGTTGGTATCTTGTATTCTTGTCATTTTACTTTATTTAATGTTTTTATTCTCTCAATTTGGAAGTAAATTTTAAATATAAACTGCCATTAAATACGATTTAGGTTCATTATGATATATTTAACATATACTTATACTAACCTTTGAGAAAGGTGTTGTGTATTGCTTAAAGGTTTGCATGGCAAAGAAATAATATATATGTTGAAGCTTGCGGTACACCACGTAAGTAGTTCTGAAAAGAACTGTTGTTGTTGAGAAAGTCTCGGTGTTTCGATTGAGATGCTTCAATCGTCTTCAGGAGAATAATATCTGCAGACACTCCAAACAGGGAAATACTTATATGTTTGGGTAGAGAGGCTGGATGGTGGTAAACTGACCAATGGGTGAAAGGCTAAAACACAAGCTGGATGGTGATTGGATAGATAAACTGACCAATAAGAAGACTGCTAGTGAGAGGCTAAAACATGTCACTTTGAATTGAATTAAAATTGATTAGATTAAAAATCTACGCTTCATTACCAGTTTTATTTTTCCTGATCTAACATTTAACATTAGGCCTACTGTCAGCTTGAGTCATAATATTGTGTGCTATTCACAACCTTCGTTTAAAATGCGTTCACTACAAATAAGTCACGTGGCTCCATCCAGAAATATGCCAGGGGTATATTCTCAAAAAAGAATATACAGAGAAAGAACCTACAATTGTCATATTACTATTAACTGCTGATGATAAGCAGGAAGGTTTGAATACACATAATAATTGATTTAAATATAATAATGATAAATTAATAAAACTAAATTAATAATGATATTAATATAAATTTATTTTGTCACCGCTCGCCTCATATCCGGGACTTTCTGCTGAGGCAAGCTTGCTCATGACTGACGCTGTGCGTCTTAAACTGCGGTGGTGGATCTTTCCTCTCATTTAACTCTGTTTCTACCCCTCCTATTCCTGCACTTGGAATCATTAAAGAGGTCGGCTTTACCCACCAGAACCAGAACCGGACATGTCGGACCCCCGGCATATTTCTATATGGAGCCACGTGACTTATTTGTAGTGAACGCATTTTATACGATGGTTGTGAATAGCACACAATATTATGACACAAGCTGACAGTAGGCCTAATGTAAAATGTTAGATCAGGAAAAATAAAACTAGTAATGAAGCGTAGATTTTTATTCTAATCAATTTTAATTCAATTCAAAGTGACATTTTTTATTTGCTTTATTTCAAATGGTAATGGAGATATAGGCCCTACTTGTTTAAAGCGCATATTAAAAAAATGTCTCTATGTGCTAAGAAATCAGTGACAGCCTAAGTGCGCAAAAAAGGAAGAATTGAATACAAAACCAACAGAAAAGGAATCCAGTTCAGAATAGAAATAAAGAGAAGAGATATTTTTAAATTCAAACAAAAATAGAATGCAGATTCTGTAAAAATGCAGGGCTGGAAAATAGAATTAAGGCACAGACTCGGATAAGAAAAATATCTTGTGACGTGTCAGCCTGAACAACAGACAAAAAGAGGGCATGCTCCCTCGGCGACCCAGCTTCCGTCTATATGCCTAAATTTGTTCACCTTTCTCTTAAAAACGTAAAAACTAAGAGTTTTTATAAAACAAGGGGCGGAAGCTGGAGAGTGGAGTATTGAATATAATTCTTACCGTGTATGTATTTGTGAAATAGACACAAGAATCTTTACACTGCACATTTCGTGTACTAAAAAGTTCCAAAAACAATGGAGTGACGGTGTACCATATCTAAATGGCTGTGAACAATTTCTGCCACCGTTACATAACTGTGAATACATAACCTCCTTTTGCAGGGGTTGACATCGTTGCCATTATCCACAAGATACAAACAAGTAGGTATAAATAAATTAAAACAAAATGACAGACACAAAAGTGCAGATTCGTATGACCTACTCTGATTAGTGATAAAGTTTTCCTCCATTCGTGGAAAAAACGTCACATTATGCTTGATGATATGTATATAGAAAATATAACATTACGACAAATTTTTGATTTCCATTGTAAAGAATATTTAATTAATGCATAAACTAGTAGATCTTTGATGCTATCTACATTACCCTCCTAAACAAATTAAACTGTATTTTAGTTTTTTGTTACTGTAGTAGTTAGGTTTGTAGTCATTAAGTTGTTTATTAAGCCTTTATTTATTGTTATCATTATTTATTATTTTATTACACATCTAAATTTCTCCTTGTCATTTGAATTGTTTTAAAAAAGTGGGGTTAAGAGGGGAAGGGGAGAAAAGAAGGGCGGGGAGAAAAAAAAAAGAAGAAAGAGAAAAGGAAAAGAAAGGAAAAGGAAAGGAAGAAACAAATTATTATTACTTTTGGTAGTTATGGTTGTAATTCTTCAAATGACAAGGACCTTTTTTAGATGTGTTTCAAATTTAAGACCAACAGTACTGATTGTAATTGAGTAATTCTCTGAAACTTAGACTGCTCAATTCGACTGGGCTCCGCCTTGTAGATTTGGGCAGCACATAGTCATTGAATATTCCGTCCATCGTACTAATTAATGTTTACTTTCTATCATTTTGATTCGTTTTTTTGATACTTGATTGTTTTTTTTATCTTTTCTTTGTATTTTGTGAAATGTTGCTTGTTATTTGGATGCACCACCAGAAGGTGTGTGCCACTGCCACAAAAGTGTTCCAATAAAGTTCAGTTCAGTTCAACAGAAGAGCGCCCTGTACGTCTGGACCAAGTATAGAAAACTTGCATTATAAAAAGAGAAGGGCGCCCTGTACGTCTGGACCAATTCCGCGTCATTTTTGCTATGCGAGTGCTCTATCTTGTATTTCTAGTATCTTTGTTATACCGTAAACATCCAGAACATTCAGTTCATCACAAATGGATCATTCTTGGAATCATTAAAAAGCACTATTTTAACATAAATTATTTTCTTTGAAATCAGATAATATTTAAAACAACTTCAAACAATCGGTGTATGAATTTTAAATGGATACTTACAATGGATTTTAGTGGCCTGCTATCAAATTTTACTACCTAATTTTACTTGTATTTCTGAGTGATAATTATTCAAGGTTTACTTTAAAAGATGTGTATTTTAGGTCCTATTTATGGAAAACAATTATTAAATATGTATTAAACATTCGTCCGTGCCTTTGAATATTTACATTTAGCGGCGTTCTGTACTGAATTTCAATAGTTTCTGATGAGTCCAGAGATTATCTCTACATCCCATTATTAGGCCTACCATCAAATTCCATTATTGGCATAGACAAACTTTATCAAATCCACGGGTAATACATGCCATAGTAAATTTCAAAGACAGATCGTTCCATTTTCTTATTGTTAAGGACTCCCGAGATTAACTTGAATTGGTGGAACAAGTTGACACTAAAGATGAATGAAGATCAACATAACTGGAAAGAACAACATAGCTGTACCACTTTTGGTTAAGGAATGAATGTCAAGACTTTCTCAGGATACTGCGCTCATTCAATGTAGCCTAATGCGTAAGTTAGTTTACTCATCTGTTTTGAAAGTGCAATAACTTATGGCTGGTATGGTTGGTTTAATAGTTTGAGAAAAAGTGACTTAGGAGGCTATAGCAAATCCAGCAGGAAAATGAAAGAGCTAGAAAATAGTTAAACAAAATGGAAAGTGGATAAAATGCAATAAATAATCAACGATATTACTCAAAATCTTTAAGCATTCTATATAAAAAGTTACCATCTGGTAGGAGGGTAAATCCTGCAAAACTAGTCGTCATCGCATAATTCCATGTTGTTTCGGTATTCAAGCTGACAAAAACTCAAAAGCTGTTATGTTTGATCTAAAAGTGTATTGTGTTCCAACAAGTCGTTCGAACCTATCGAATACAAAATACAAGAAACTACATAACTCAAGATGCTCAAACCTTTTAACGCGATAATATAGATTAGCGTAATTTTAACTAATTAATTCTCAATACTTTTAACTCGTATAATCAGTACTTAAACTCACCATCCCAGATTCAAATTACAGCTCAACTCAACTCGGTATACTCAACTCAGATGACAGCCTGAATGTTGAAATATCAATTAACCGGTTGAACTGCTCAATACTCATAGAACAACCGTGTTAACTTTCTCAAATAACTAAATTACACTACAGAATTCTCGAACGCTTCTCTCTCTACGAAATATAATTTGCTGTGTCTTATCGGAGCACGAAAAGAAAACACAGCTAACAAGAAAGGGTGCTCATTTCGTTTCCTCACGAAAAACATGTAGGCCTATCCATAATCAATGAGGTACACCGATAGATTGACATAATATGAAACAAACTCCGAAAAAAGTAATAATTCCACTGTGATTCAATATTTCTTTTCTTTCAAACTGTATTAGTTCATTACCAGGAAAGATG